CGTGCCAGTCCATTTTGCTGGTTTTTGTCTCCTTGATGAGACAGGTTTCATCATCATGCACTCAGGTTTCCAGAAGGCTTTCCCAGCAGCTGCTTTTGCTTTACTTGCTACTTGGTTCTGTATACCACATTGTTGGTGAACAGAAAATGAATGTCATAGCAACAAAGCCTTTTACTGTTACAGTCATGGGATTTTTAACTCTTGTTACATCCACAGTGCCAATATGCAAAATCTGAATCTGTTTCTCAGGTCCAGTTTGTCATGTTGCTGGTCTAGCACTTTCATTGTTCAAATTTTTGGAAGAGATGACTGAGTCAGTGTATGGCTTTATATGTCATCTAAAGAATAGAAATCAGCTGCCCTTGACAGGATGAAGATGCCCAACCCACTTAATATATAGGTGCTTGTTCTCATCTTTTTGCATGTTGATGGGTCGGACATTACGCAGTTCTTGATGTAGTAAAGCATGATTCCATGCTTGCTATCTTGGTCTTGCAGCAGCCATTGAGACCCATTTCTTAGTAAACTCAAGAGACATAAGGGCGTGTGTGGATACAGCTAGAGTGTGAATGTACAAACGGACAAGCACTTGAAGAAGAAAAGACAATTGTTTGTCAAAGACTTGAGTTCTCTGAGATGTGTCCTCCAAATGCACATCCTTTACCCGTCTTTTTTATCTCTTCTATCAGTTTTGCATATTAATTAAACCAAAACAGGAGTTAACAATATTGCAGTAGTTTTCAGCTATGAAAACAAGGATTTATTCTATGAAATATATGTACTACAGTTTAATTCCAAAAATAAATTTAAAAATATTGTGGTATAATAAATTAATGTTCTATAAAAGTGATTTTATATATCCTTTAATGATTCTAAGTAACAAAAAAGTAGGAGTTCACTTTGTTCACTTATTTCAAGAAATGATCATTTTGATATATGAATAAATTTTTTAATTTTTAACTTAACAGTTGTCTATAATATAGATATGATCTAGGTTGTTAACCATCTCAATTCTATACTTTGTCTGCATGTTTTATCTCTTCCTTATTTAAACCTTAAATTTGTATTATTCTCTACGCAAGTAGAATTTTTGCCCATGCTTAACTTCAGGATAAATCACAGTGTGATCTGTCTGAGTATCACTGCCACAGGGTTTTGGCTAGAAGCCTAGGGACTACTATTCCTTTAGGAGAGCACAACCATCCAGGTTGCTGATCTGGGCCCTGAACACGAGTAGTACCAAGTACACAAGTAAGAAGACTACGTTGCTTTTGTGACATGACCTGGAGTAACTTGCAATGGTTTTGAAGAGATTGGGTTTCTGCCTCAATACAGCCAGACTCAGAACATAATGATACTTTTCCTTCCATTATTTGATCTGCTAAGCAGAGCATCTGGTTTTCTTCTTGGCTTTCAGTTGTGGACGTTAGTCACTTGAGAGTGGAAGAGTGTACTAGAGGAAGCAGCAGCTAACATACCAAAGAAATATCACAAAAATTTCCTAAGGCTAAGCTTAATTAAAGCAGAGAAGTGTTACTAATTTATTTGAAAACACAGTGGAAAAATGACATGCCTGGTTATGGCCAGATCCAGCCATCAGTATTTGTAGTTGCTGTAGGTTTTATTAACCCTGTTTGCCACAAGCATCGCACTTCAGAGGAGGTTAAGGTCTTTGTGTGGATTTTTATTGGCTTCATGAATGAATTTATTTTATGAAAGGTAATGCATAACTATTTTTATGCACTAAAAATAATGGCATCAACAATATACAGACTCGAGTGTTCTTGAGGCTGTTTTCATGTGTAATCAGTCGTTGATATGTTATCACCATATTTCTATAATAATAACAAAAGAAATTCTATGATCCCATTAATCGGGAATCCATAGTTTGTTTATTTTCAGTGCTCTGCTGTATTATTTTTTTAGTAGTGTGGCTATAAAAAATTTTTTAAACATAACTGAACACTTTTTCTAAAGGCCCATTTTGCTAAGCCTTGCTGGGATGGAGTTAGATTTCTTTGTGGAGGCCTCTGTGGTGCTGTTTTTTGGATTCATCACTAAAACAACATTGATAACAAACCACTGTTTTAGCTATTGCTGAACAAAGCTTACACAGCATGTCACGCAGGGAGAAGGTTGGGTGTGGGCAAGAGGCTGGGAGAGGACACATCTGGGACACCTGAGCTGAGCTGACCAAAGGGTATATCATTCCATTCCATGTAACCTCATGCTCAGCAACAGCAACTGAGGGGAGGATGTTTCTGGGGAGGTATCCATTACTTGGAGACTGGCAGGCCATCATTCTACTTGTGGGAGGCGGTGAGCGATTGCCTTTGTATCACTTACTTATTTCTGACTTTTTTTTTTTTCACATATTAAAAGTGTATTTTGACCCATGAGTTTCCTCACTTTTGCTCTTTCTATTCTCTCCCCACTGGGGAGAAAAGGTGTTTGCTTCTGGTCAGGGTCAACCCACCACACTGTTATAGTAGCATCTGCTGGGAGAAAAATTTCTCTGGTGGGTGATTAGAACTGCAAATTAAGCAAATACGTGCTTAATGTCTCTGCTGCAAGTTTCTATTATGAACATTCTCGGGGAAGACTTGATATAAATGCAGTAAATCAAAGAACAGCTACTCAATTCATGTAAATTCCTGCAAATTTCCTATCAAAATTGGTATTCAATTGCAACACTGCTGTTGCTTCTTAATAGCACCTCTTACTTCTTTCTTGTTAACTGTTAATATTGTTTACATGGTTTTGACTGGCTGTTCATTATATCCAGCTAGAACAATAAAAGTAAACATGAAAAATGCACATGTAAGCTGTAAAGAATATGTATATACCAAACAGAAAACAAGCAGAGGAATGAAAATTGAATTCCTATAAATAATGATGATTTCATTGCATTCAGCACTTCTTCATATTTATTAGATAAAAATGTAATTTAGAGTGCCAAGGGCCTTGTAATATTAATACTAATCTTTCCTTACAGTTCATTTGTTGTTTACAACATGAAATAGTAGTGCTCTGCAAAGTTGTATCATATACAAGAAAAATGTATACAGCAACTCTTCAGTTTTGCACTACCACTGCAGGGTAGATATTGCTGTAATCTTAGTGTTGTTACTGCAGTAAAGTAGTTTAAGAGCCAAATGTCTTAAAATAGCTCATTTGAGCTTACTCTGTATGAAAAGCGGATTGTATAGTGCTTGCAGTTCTTTTACACTAGCTCTCTCCAGGATGCTACTTATTTTCATTCAGCCTATTTCAGGGCACTTTTCAAACACTTTTGAGACACATTTGAACCTAATGCCTAACTGCAGAAGCAAAATCATCATACTTCAATACAGTCATATTTGTGTCTGATAGATATTTGGGATAAATAACTTGTGACTAAAGTCTGTCAAAGGGCTTGGGAAAAAAAGATAATCCTCCAGTATTCTGTTTGTTTGCTGTTTTTTGGTACGATGAGAATCTAGGTGAGATTAAGTCATACAGGGCGAAGTGCAAAATTCATTGAAGTCAATAGCTATCTTTCCAATCACTTAAGTAACTCTACACCAATCACAGTGAAACTGTTCATCTCAGGATGAGCTTGAAGAAATATTGACAAGTTGTTGAGGAAACAGTGGTGTGAGGGAGTGCAGAGAGATAAGTACCATATAGGTAGCTGGGTCAGATGTTTCAGAGGTGGAAATTAATAGAAGGGAAGCAGCAGTGCTTGAAGGCACATGCTACTATACATACAATATGGCATATATTATTTTGAGTGATGTTCAATGGCTCAGTTTAATAGGGTGGATAACAAAGGCAGAAAGTTAGGATTTAAATTCAAACTGCTGTTGGTTACATAAAGAAACTAATCTTTAAAATGTCGCTGTAGCACTAAGCAATTTCTCTGTGTCTGAGGACTGAAACTGATGCTTTAGTAGAGGATATGAAATCACGACATTGTGATAAGTAGTTTATAAACATGTTATAGGTTGAAAGAAAAAGAGAGCTAACAGACTTTTCAGCAGTTGCTCATTTACTTTAGTTTTACTGTAAATATTAGATATTATAAATACTCTGAAAAAATACTCCAAACTGAAAACATTTAGTGTTCTACACATCCTTCAAGTAAATGATATAAGCTAATAATCTATGACTATGAATAATGAACAAAGTAATTTGGAAATGCTTCCTTGAATGCCAGTAAAAATAAATAAATAAACGAACAAACTTAGAACATTAACAACAGCGAAAGTGAAGGCTGTCGCTTACTTTGGTTTGAGAAAATACAGGTCTACATGAGTTTATTGGAGAAATCATCAAAACAAGATCTGTTCTCTTTTAAAATAATGTTAAGAATCCCTCAAAAAACCTTACCATGGAAACTTCCTTGCAACTTGTATACACTTGGAGAGAGAAAATCATTTTTCCCTTCATCATAGGCTAAAAGTTGACTCCATGAATGGCTTTTAAAAGTGTAGCTGTTTCATGAAGACAAGAAAATTGTGCTATACAGAAATCTTTGTACTAATCAGTGTTGATGTTAGAACAATATTTGTCTTTAATCATATGTTGAATTCTAAATAATGGAAAACAGACTTTTGTGGAATTTCTGTGGCTTTTATATGCCAGAGGCACATGCTTACGGACAAACTATGTTTTCTGTGTGACAGATTCAAATTTTTATCTGAAAATGTCATGGAAAGTAACTAAACATAAATTCAGTTGTAAGTTGTTCTTACAAAAGGTGCTGAGTATTTCTTTGTATGACTAAAGGAACAATAACTAAGACTAAAGACTTTTTTAAAGAGAGAACTACAAAGAATCTACAAAGGAAAACAAACTGAAAATTGACTTTATTAGGAATTATTTCTAGGGACAATGTATGAGATGCCAATAAAAGTTATATTTTATGTTCTCTAGTTTTTAACTTTCAAATATGAGATTTGCTCATGTAGAGGAAAAATACCAAAGAAACTAATACCCTCAAATTTCTTTCGACTTAGAAAAAACTGACCAACAAAATCCTGCGGCAGGAGATAAAGACATAAAACAGCCTTCCAGTAACCAAAGTGTACAGCCAGAGATACAAGAGCAGTCTGTCTGGGGAAATCGCACTGATGGTGACCTCATCAGAAGTAAGTATTTCCAGAACAAATTGCTGCCATTTAGGCTTGCTTTAGTAGTGTAAGGGGATACTGCCTGTTGACTCCCTTAAATGTGTGTCAAATGCAATTGTGTTGCAACTATAATGCGTGTCTTGGAATTTATTTCCCGGAATGACTTCTGTCAGCATCTATAAATAACAAATTGAAATAAAGGTGTGATTTGAGCAGTGTGGTATATTGTAGACCTTTATGGTACTTACATTTTAACCCTTTATGTCATATTATTATTATTCATAATAATAATATAATATTCATAATATTATTCATGATCTGTGCATTTAGTAGGCACATGAGCTGCATTGTGCAACTGTGCACAATGTCATCACCTTAGATTTCTCAGGTTATATGTTTCAGTGATAAACTATACTGAGAAGTTTCTACCAAATATGCTAAGGACTGTTCAGATGTAATTTTATACAGAGCTTTAAAGCTGAAAGTAGTTTTAGTCCTCTCAAAAGTAGAAGAATGCTGTAAGACAAGGTTTTAGATCTAAAGTGCTATGGACTTTTTAAAATTTTTTTTTTTAAGTTGAATTTTACAAACCCACAATCCTAGTGTATGTCTTAGATGCTTTACAACATAAAAGGGTGTGCAGGATTATTCCCAGTTTTTTCACTTGAGGATCACATGCTGTCCAAAAGATCATCCAAAATATCATCTATAATTGCACCCTCCTGAGGCAAAAATACTTCTGTTAACTGCTGATTTAAAATTCTGTGAATATTTGAACACTAGATGTTCAAGGGAGGGGCAGCAGGAGAAACTTCCCTAATCATAGGGTGCATTCAAAAAGCAAATAGACTCAATACTGAGTTGTACTCCAGCTCTTAGGCTGGATATTCTGGATCAGCTTCTCCTGAACTTTCTGTAAAGATTTACAAAGAAACTCAAATATTAGTTAATCTTTTTTTTTTTTTTTCTTTTTTTTTTTTTTCTTCTTCTCCTAAATAATAAATATAAATAATTAATCCTGGTAAATAGTTACATCCTTAATGTAGTGAATAGTTTTCAAGATCTTTAATAGGAGAACTTGAATTTAGCATGTCAGATATTTATCTGAAAATTTAAAAATAATTCTTCATGGGCTATAAAGGAGAAGAATTTGCTTCCATGATTTGAGAGTCTTCTTAACCCCCAAATATTGTTTACTTTAGACCGAGTAAACAAGCAATTGGTTTGTACTTTGGTTGTGGATGTAGGAAGGTGGGTACAGAGTCAGCTGCTTTTGGAGTGGTCTTGTTCTAATTGCCCCCTCCTAGAGGGTTCCTTATTCCTGAACCTGTGGGAAAAAAGATTTATTTGGCAGCAAATTAGTAGCATGCCTTAACTATGGAAGAAAGGGCCAAGGATGGTTCGCGCTGTGGTTCCTCTAAGCTCCTCACTGCAACCCTTGAGCTGGGGAAGTAGGAGAGGAAAAGGCAAATTTTTCAGTGTATGGTAGAAATTGCAGCAGATTTTGCAAGTCCCTGACAGCGAAGTAAGTGTAAAGTGACTTGGCAGTTATGTGCAGTTATATGTCTCTGTGACAGGAAGGTTCTCTGTCTACAAATTAAAAATAAATAAATAAACAACAGGAAAAAAGGGTAGAGATACAGTAAAATTCGGAAGCCCTCCTGTGCATAAATGTGCTCTTCCTGGAGTCTGTGGCAGTTTATCTTTGTTGAAAGCAAGCTTAGGTAAAAGCAGGAAGTCTCTAAAACTCCTAACCTTGATAATTTTGATAATTGAATTTTGTATGCTAGTGGCTTTATTATGATACAATTGCGTAGTTGTTTCTATGCACTTCTTTCTCTGTTTCAAATCCATAATTTTTTATTTCATCACCAAACAAAATGGCCAAACAAAACCTTCTAGCTTTTTTTATTTTATTTTATTTTATTTTTTTTTATTTTTAATATAGCTATGAGTAGAGAAGTCAAAAAGTCAAAAAAGTCAAAATTAAAGAAGAGTGTTTGGCTCACTGCCAAGTCTTGTGTTCGTAAATTCTACAGATTGATCTACATAGTTACTAAAATATGAATAATAGAACAAGTGGAAAAAAGGAGTTTATCACAAACATTGTTTAGACAGTTCATTTTAAATAACTGGTATTGTAGATCAGAATGACTATGATTTAACCAAATCTATTACCCTGCTAGACTAAATTTTGTGGAATATTGCATATTGAAAGAAGCTTGAGGTTGGAAATAAATAGTGTTTTGACTATTCAGAACTATTTTAAAACCATTTCTTTAAATTGTTTTAGACAAGACACACTAGTGTTCTAAGTATTAACAACTATTCACCACTATCCTAGTGATCCAGTTTCTTTTTTTTCCCATACAGATTGTTTTCCAGCCCCACAGCTGATACATAATCCATTTGTGTTAGTTTGTTTTCACTGTATAAATGTTTCCAGCATATAATTTCCAAGGTTCTTCTTGTTTGCAGCTGTTTTACCCTGCTGTTGTATGGAAGTAGATTAATCAGTCAGTTTTACTGGCACACCAACAACGAAGTCCAGTGTTAGAGACTCTGTAATGACTTCACTATGTATGATTTCTTATTTGCACTTATAAACTCATTTTACCAGGCAACATCAATAAACTAAAATGCTGCACCCATTTTCCACACTAAGATACTTCCAGTTCACCTTTATCTTGCAGACCCTTTCTCAAGCCACTTTTAAAACTCTTTCTAGATTATGAGATTTCCCCCAAGTTACCTCTTCCCCGAGCTCCTTTGGAGCACTCCCTCTCCCTAGAATGAAAACTTTCACAATATCCTGGGTAAATCTTGGGAAAGAGTTAAGGATTTAATTAACCAGGGAATTAGCCTGTTTTGAAAAGAGCTTGTGAATTGTGGTAGATGAATATTAACTTCCAGTGCAACTCTGTGCTTCAAAAGGCTACTGTATACTGGCATGTAAACAAGGGAGAGCTAAATAAGAAGGAAAAGTTTATGTTGAGTTTCTGTATTGATTGTTAATGCTTTTCATAACTGTTACTGGAATACTGTGTTCTGTTGGAGAAGGGTCAATGGAGAACCACAAACATCTCAGGAATGATTAGAGTAGTTGAAAACATGCCTTATTGTGGAAAAACTCCTGGAGTTCAATCTGTTCAGTGTTAGCAAGGAGTGTAAGGAATGGCTTGCTTAGTCCCTAAGAAGCGTGATGCCACAAAGAAGAGAAATCTGATAAGTTCTCTATCTGTAGCACACAGAGGAAGAACTAGATCTAATGTCTGGAAGTTCAATTAAACTGGAAGTAAGGTGTGTGTGTGTATATATATGCATATATATATATATATATATATAAAATAGGGTATTTGAGAACAGGTAGAGCTGCATGCTAAATTATTTTTAGGTGTATTAATTTGATTTTACTCTTGAGAAGGTGACCACTGCTATCCCGATACTTCAATTTTACAGCTGCAGTAAGGGAGAGTCTCCTTTCCAATTGTAGTTCCCCAAACTGGAATAATTTTAGAGTTTTAATCTGAGGTATTCTTCAAGGCAGTGCTAAGATCTGTTCCCTACCCTTCACAGAAGCACACGTAGCTTGCATTTTATTTAAGGATGTAGAGGTTCTGCTTTTAAAAAGAGTTTAGCATTAATAGCTCCATCTGTTTTTCCTTCGTCTTCAGCAATGCATTTTAAATATCTGCAAACACCTTCTGCTTATTTTCATTATATGATCTGGTGGCCTTTAATGGAGACATTCTGCTTCTGGTATCACTCACCTTTGGCAAATGAGAAAAAGTGAATGTTAAACCATACAGCAGAATAATCTGTGGCCATAGGAATGAAGCCATCACAGTTTTTGCTGCTCTGCATTACCGCAATGCCCTGCTTTGTTCTTTCGGAAAGCTTATCTTTTCCCTTGTTAGAAAGTCAAACAAACAAGCAACTCCCCCTCCCCCTGCCCCCAACTCTAAAGTCGGATTTCAGAATATTTAGGCAAAAGTTCTACATAGAGTACAAGGTAGTTGTCAATATGCCCTGTTATGTGAGGGAAGAAATTTTTAGGAGGGAAGAAAATGCCAGTGCCAACACTATTTACTCGTGAGGATTTAATCTCCTTTCTGGTTCTCAAGATGGACCTTAGCTATGTGATATTTAAGAAAACAAAAAACATCTACCATAGATTCAAATTGTCATGAATAATTGATTAATAATAATCCAATTCTCAAGATTAAATACCTAAAATATGCCCATGTTTTACAGATAGAAAGGTCATTGCTATCCATCATTTCGTAGCTTCAATTGCCTCTTTCTCCTCCATGAAACAGCCTCCCGATAAAAGTGGGTCTTCAGAGAAAGAGGTGCTTCATTCAGCTCTGTGGGGATTAAACAATTTTACATGTTCTTGTGCTCCCTGTTTTATTTAGTACATTCTTACTTTTTTAATTGAAATTTAAAACTAGATTTAAATACATATATATATATTGGTTTTATATGTTTATGTTGACATTTTTACTTTACGTGGTTATTTATTTAACTATAATGTGTGGAAATCCCCTTTTCCTGATGGCTAAGTGGCTGTTTTCCACAGTTTACATTATACAAGCTTGAGTTTGGGACTGTTTTTTTGCAAACAAGAAGATCATTTGTCATTAGAACTGTTCTTTCTATGTTCTTTCTATCTTCCAAAGTACCTTTTCTTGGATAATTTATAGTGCATAGTCATGTTACAGTTACTGTGATTTCAGACGACTGTGTTCATTCTGTCTAGAAAATAGTGCCAGTTATTGAGATAACTTAAATGGTTCTTTTAAAAGTTAGAAAGCATGACACATACCATCATCTTCTAGTGTAACTGAGTGTGTGAACATAGAAATTTTGTAAAATAGATTAATGGAAATTATTCAGAATATCTTGCTGAGTCTGAAGGGTTTGCATAATGTTCCCAGTATATCCAGGTATTCATTCCATCTGGATGTGAAAAACGTGGGGGCCTGTGGATGAACTAAACTTTAATCAGTTCAGTA